GAGAGAGAGAGAGAGAGAGAGAGAGAGAGAGAGAGAGAGAGAGAGAGAGAGAGAGAGAGAGAGAGAGAGAGAGGTCTGGCATTTTCCAATCCTTGATACAAAATAGTTTCCCGAGTCCATCATTGACTTTTGCAGATGGACCTCCTATTATGACGTGTCCAGTGAGCATCAACATCTTTGTCGATCCTCTTCGTCTACATCTCAACATCTCTGTCCTTCTTACCAAGGCCTACTAACCCCTAATATGGGTTTGTGGAGGATACATAAATATTATTTGCATAAACGCGACGATATTTTATATTACAACAACAACAACAATGCCAACAAAATGTCAATAACATCAGTCGGCCATGATTCCCCTATTTGTGTGTAAAACGGGCTCAGCTCAGGCCACACTCAACTGCACCATAGAGACGTGAATATATATGCATATAGCATATACATGTATGACAAGCGAGCGACTGATCAAAACCTGAATCCCTCCACACTATTCTATTTGCAATGCGCCAAGTGAACTCCTCAACCGCCAAACGTCAGTCGTCAGTCCTCAGTCGTCAGTCGTTCACATCAAACCCACTTGAACCCCCCAAGTTCCCTCAAGGGCCTCAACCAGGACCCAGTTGCACCCAAAGGCCAACAACGCCCAACACTCAAAACCTTGCCGGCGTCCGCCGTCCGTCCAGTCACAGCAGGCTCTCGCTTGAACTGACACTTTGTAAATTACGTGAACCCCAAAGTCAAAGTCAGAGTAAGTCAACGCCCCAATGACGAACCCAAAAGTCAAAGTCAAAATGAGTCAACCCCTGATGGTTAACTCCACAGTCAGCGTGAGTTTACCCCTAATGGTTGGTTAATTTCAAAGTCGGAGTGAGTTATCCCGCCAACCAGGGGTTAACTACTGCAAGTGCTAACAGACAGCGGGTAATGGCATGCAAAAATCGGGCATCTCAACAGACCGGACGAGGGCAATTCTGTCCGGGCACAGAACGCCATGGACAGAGAACAGCAGGGAAACGAACGAACCTCCGATCTACAAAGCCAATGCGATTCAGTAGTATTCGATGGACCCTGGGATCGACAATCCGCCCGCGGAACAAAGCAACCTTTCAATGCATCATCTTCAAGGGAATGGACTCTTCGACGTACCAATCACATGGACCATGCGTTGAACCGGAGCCGATGGGCAGACCCACGGGCATAAAGTCAGACGGGTATTAGATGCAAAAAGATCCAAGTACAGGCAACGGCGCCTCGCAGAATGCACCGCTGGAAGGACCATCCATCACATGTACCGTGGAACATGAAATGCACCATTGGTCCATTAGAAGTACACCATGGCACAGGCGGTGGACGATTGGGCACAGCATTCAGCGAAGAAGGGTACAATGGGGAGACATATCATCTACAAGCAATGGACGATGATCACCCTCGGATTCACCATGCGCAGAAGAGAACCTAGCAATAACATACACTACACAGATGAAGAAGCAAAAGTATCGCAGATTACTCACCGCTTGGTTGACCCTCCTGTCAAAGAGTTACGCTTACCGAAGACCCCTTCTAGTCTGCCCATCCCACACCTCCACCTTTTCCTGTGATTTTGACGCAGGGCAAGCGTGCACGCATGATGAGATGCAAGACGCATAGTGTGTACCTCAGCTGGTCCTTCCACCATCTCTTCTATCCCATTCCAGGCCGTCTTTGCTTGCCACACCAGGTCCTTTTCTCTGTCTGTTCTTCNGGCCGTCTTTGCTTGCCACACCAGGTCCTTTTCTCTGTCTGTTCTTCGTGTTCCTTACGCTGGTCCTTAGGCTTGCAGACCACCTTCATTCCGCGCCCTAATTTCCTCGCTCCGATCATGCAATCTGTTAACCACTAGCCCTCACTCCTTCCAGCCATTGTCGTGCCACTCGAGTTCAGTTTCTCTTCTGCTGCCTCCCCCTACCTCCTCGTCCTTCCATCTTGTCTTTTCCCTCTCTTCCTCCTCCCTTTCTATCTCCACCCTAGGTCACTCTTGGGCTTCCCAGATTCCTATACTTGACCATCGTGCCCAAGACAGAACCTGCTTGACTTCAACATGATCTCAAGGCCCTCTAGCCCTTCACGACAGCGATTCAATGACCAACCAAAACTACATATTCCTCGCAATTTCTTGCTTCCCAACACTCCACACTTTCTCCCTCCGTCCCTGCATTCTTCCTTGCGCGCCAATCCTTCCTTTCCTCCCTCCGTGTGTCCAGCCATCGGATCCGTCCGACATCCATGTACTCATCGCATCCCCTTTCTCCCTGCCTCTCTTTTGTTTCCCTCTCATTCTGCCCATCTACATTCCTAACGACCTACCTACCTAACTAATTGACTAAATCGCAACACCATAAATTTCATAAAATACCAAAGGAACCCCATATAACGCAAGAATTTATGTACAATTGAGAGAATTTGAGGCGACTAAATTCATGCAAAAAAGATAGCCTTCCTTGTCGACGTGCAGGGACCGACTTCCATCTCTCTCTTTCCTAGACTCCCTTTCCCTTTCATTCCCTTTCCCTTTCATTCCCTTTCCTTTTCTTACCTTTCCTTTCCTTTCCCTTGGCAGCAATTTGATCCCCGTCCTCTCCTCCCTAACCCTAACCACCTAGGGGGGAAATGGAAATGATTGTGAGTCTCTTGTGACATACTTGCCGCCGAGGGTTGGGGGTATAAGCCCACCCCAGTCACAGAGAGGAGAAAAAACTAGCAGAACAAACACCAAAACTGGCCAATCACCATGGCCATGGCCATCTTCTACCTGCCAAGCTGGCAGGAATACTATCCACGGGGAGCACCGACCACAGCTTTCCTCCCTCAGTCAAGAATACTGGCCAAGCACAGCATGTAGAGCGACTTCCCTCCCTCACTTCGCCAACCAGATATTCTTCTCGCCATACCTCTCTCTCTCTCTCTCTCTCTCTCTCTCTCTCTCTCTCTCTCTCTCTCTCTCTCTCTCTCTCTCTCTC